TACAGTGGCTATAGCACTGGTCAGCTGTTGATTCCCTCTGTTACAGCTGCTGGTGCTAAAAGGCGGCTAGTCAGACATTGGTCCCGGGGACACTTGTATTTCCCACAGTGGACTTGGGCTGTGCTAGTGTGGGCGGCGATCTGAGTTGCCAGTCCTCTGAAGGTGACTGCGAGGTTAAATTGTGCCCTGACCTAAGCTGTACCCACTACTTCTCCTTCCTTTGAGAGCATTTTGCTTTCCCTGCCAGGAGGTGGCACCATTTTCTTTGGAATTCAAGCCCATTCCAGCCAAAATGGCTTCCAGAAGTTGCTCTCATTATGTACCGACAGTATTTTTACTGTGGTCTCACCATTTATTGATACCTGTTGGTTTCCAGACATTATGCCAAATCTTTGGATTCAATAGTGAATGTGGCACAGCTCTTGTCCTTGAAAACCCACTTTGTGGCTGGGGCTACAGGTAACTGCAGTATAATGTGACCCATGCTGTAGTATATTGAAATTAAGTGTTCTAAGTAGAAAGGGGGGAAAAAGTGTTCCAGGTTGACGAAACAGCAAGCATGAAGGTAAAATATTATGAAAGGAAATGAGATACTTAGTAAACAATGAGAAAACCAGTGTGTCGGGGGTGTGCCTTTTGAAGGAATGAGTGGTCAGGGTGAAATCTGGAAAGTTATGTTCGAAATTTGGACCTTATCCTTTAAGCAGCAGAGAGCCAATGAAAGTTCCTTAGCAGAGTGTACCATTAGACTGGTTTTGTTGAGCAAATAAACATGGAAGTTCAACTGAAATAAGGAGAGATTCAGGGCAGATTAGAAGGTTGTCATCTTGGTGAGGGCGGTAACAGTGGGAAAGGGAAGGAACGACTGGTTCAGGAGGCACTTTAGAGACAGAAGAGAGAGACTGCTCTCTGCTGTTCTGTGATAGTCTGGGGGTGAGTAACTTAGGCAGGGATATAAATCCTTTCACTTTTCCTGTTAAGATCAGGGAAGGCCTGCTGGTAAGGAGTTCTGATTTGAGAGCAAGACTTTCTCTTTGTTCTACAAGAAAGAAAACCTGATCCTTGGAAATGAAGGGATCAGCAAGGGTTACAGGAAGATAGGAAACTCCTCCTTTTGTTCTGCACTATTCTCTGACATACCTTTTCATTTATGGACCTGACTTAGGAACAGCGACATCTCACCCATGAAAATGTACAGCGCAAACAGGCAAGGACAGGAGAAGAGCGAGAAGAGGAGGAGGAAGAGCAGATCAGCGAGAGCGAAAGTGAAGATGAAGAGAACGAGATCATTTACAACCCCAAAAACCTGCCCCTTGGCTGGGATGGCAAGGTAGGTCCCAGCCCTGCCGTCTTTCCCCCATCTCCTATTTTGGAAGCAGATGCAGGCGTTAGTCTAATACTGTTCTCTTATCTGATTCTTTCCAGCCCATTCCTTACTGGCTGTATAAGCTCCATGGCCTAAATATCAACTATAACTGTGAGATTTGCGGCAACTACACCTACCGCGGCCCCAAGGCCTTCCAGCGGCACTTTGCTGTAAGGAATTGAGAGCCATTTCTCCTGGGCTTTGAAGTATGAAACATGAGTCTTAGAGAAGGGGATAGGAGCAGCCTGAGAGGATCACTAGTGTCCAGAGCTTAAGAGACTCAGAGAGGAGTGGATCTAAAGTCCAGCATGTGACACATGGCCTCTAGCACGAACACCAGCCGTGAGTGGTGCCTGAGACAGTTCTGGAGGCATTCCGCTACTCCACTGTTTGAACCACATTTCCGTTTTCTCTTGCTTGCTCTTTGCTTCTCTCTTTTTGTGTCTCTGACTCCTTGGTCATTCCTCTATCCTATTGCTAGCACTCAGGACCAAAAAAGGGGCTGACTGCCTCCTTCTTTGGGTCTTAAATGGGTCTTTGCCTCTTGAAAAAAAGGAATGAAGAGGATGACATGTATCAACCTATTCTTAAGACAACGCATTATCTGGGTGGTACTCCAATAAGTGAATTCACCCTTGTTTTGTTTCTGCCCTCAGTTCTTAGTACTTGGAAATTTTACAGAATCAGATGGATCAAAGTGGGAAATCCAAAAGACAGGTTCTTGGAGGGGATAGTGGGAGGGAGGGAGACACAAAAGACATTTGACCAAGTCTTCAGTCAGAAGGTCCTAGAAGGAAAAGAATAAGAGTAGAGACAGGAGAGAGTAGGTGGAGCCTTCACAAAGGGTCAGGATAGGGTTTATGAGTAGAATGGAGTTAGTTCTCTGTGTTCAGTCAATCCCATTTCACATTGTCCTCTCACTTCTGTCTTCTCCCAGGAATGGCGTCATGCTCATGGCATGAGGTGTTTGGGCATCCCAAACACTGCCCACTTTGCTAATGTGACACAGATTGAAGATGCCGTCTCCTGTAAGTAAGCTTTACTTACTGTTCCCTGGGCTACACCAAGGGGCCACTCCTACAGTTCCCTTTCCTGATACTCTGGTGTATGCAGGCCTGAGGGTGGCAGCTGGTGGATTTGTACAAACTACTGCAGTCGTACAGTTACTGCTCTTTGAAGGGATGAGTTAGGCAACTGATTATTCCTCCTTTGAAGAGAACTCTGTGCTAGTATAAAACAGGGCTTTTAACTGGGGTCTGTGAACTCCCCTGTATGGAAGAGTTTGAGTGAATGGGTATGTGTATATTTTTCTGAATTGATTTTACTGTGTTAAGAACTGCAGATATGAAGGAGAAAATAGAAACGGTCTCAGTAAGTTTATTTCTGAGCTGACAGAACAGGTACACAGCAACGTGGCAGCAAAATACCTCTTGGAGAGAAAGCCAGGTGCAGTGTGTGTCCAGGAATGTGTGGCTGAGGCACCCAGGGACCTCAGTCAGGCTTCCTGTTTGCCTGGCAATGGTGGCTGTTTGCACCATTAGCAACTTCCTCACAGGCTTCTTGTTTTCTTTCTGGTTTATCTCTTCTCTGTCATGTTTTCACTTTCAGCCAGTTAGACTGTGAAGAAAGGAATATTAGCACTCCACTTTGTCAGATTTCAGGCACTCCCTCTCAAGTACACGTATCACACTACTTGGCTGCTTGGTCAGCTAACTCCTTTGGCTCCCAACTCTGGGGCTATTCAGATCCTCCGTGGCAGAGCCAAGCACAAATGACCTTCTAAAGAGCTCCCTGATCCGTGACTTAACCTGTGGATTCTGGGAACTCTTTCATTGAATTTTTTGTGTGCAGTCAGCTTTAGGGACTCCTAGCTTTGTCTTTCCTTCATCATTTATAAGCCAGGATCATATAGTTGTAATCAGAATTATAATGTCTCTTATCAGATTATCCACTTAGCCTCTTTTCATTTTTGCCCTTCACTTTGTTGGGAGGAAATTAAAATAGTAATGAAATTTCATAGAATCATAATGCATTTTGAATGCAGTCTCATTATTAGATGTGTTTTCTAGCTGCATGTCACTGATAAATAGATCACAGTTCATTTTTTGTGTATTTACGTCCTTCAAATTGCCTGAGTTAATTTGTTACTTGATATCTTGAAATTGATCCATTTATTTTAGGCTTATAATCATGCCAACTGCAAAAACAAAGGTGATGTTTTAATTAATTTTGTTCTGTGTGTTATTTCTCTTCATGGATAGTTATCTTAAGCATTGCCCCCCAAGTCTTATGTTAAATAGATGCAGGTAATAGGTCATCCCTGCCTGGATGCTGTTTTGTTTTTTTTTTTTTAACATTTTTTATTGATTTATAATCATTTTACAATGTTGTGTCAAATTCCAGTGTTCAGCACAATTTTTCAGTCATTCATGGACATATACACACTCATTGTCACATTTTTTTCTCTGTGATTTATCGTAACATTTGCCTGGATGCTGTTTTTAAAAACTGTGGTGATACAGACTAACTTTTAAGATTGGCTCATGATTTTATCATCATGTTCCACAAGAGAAAGATGACAACATTTTTACCACTATTACTTTTATCAGGCCTTGGATAAAACAGCATTCCTAAATTATTTCATACTGGGTGGTAGATATTCTTTTAATGTAGTTATTTATCCTGTTAGGATTCTATTTATAAGTTATGTTTTTACGTCCATAAATAAAAGAAGTGCTTTTTCTTTTCCTTTCAGGTGTCAAATTTAGGGGTCAAAACCATATATGTGGCATAAAATCAATGGGATTACATGCTACATTCTCTTCTGTCATTTGAAACTATTTACTATTTTTTAATTGGAGTATAGTCAAACTGTTTATATTTAAATAGAGGTTACTTTTTCAAACAAAGGGACAACTCTGAGAAGATTCTTTAGTTAATAGCCCATACAGTTCCTTGATTTATTATGACAAGGTAGGAAACCAGGTGTTTTATTTCTATTGAGTTTTACTCTTTCCTTTTTCCTATTAGTACTTTCTTTGATCTTGTTTCGTTGTTCCTTTCTTCAATCTTTAGTCAAGAATTCACTTTTTTTGAGCTGTAGTTGATTTGCAATATTAATATCAGGTGTACAACATAGTGATTCAAACTTTGTATGGCTCATACTCCATTTAAAGTCATAAAATATTGGCTATGTTCTCTGCTGTACAATACATCCTTGTAGCTTATTTATTTTATATATAGTAGTTTGTACCCCTGAATCCCCTGTCCCTATCTTGCCCTCCAGTCCTTGCCTTCCCCGCTGGTAAGCACTAGTTCTCTATATTTGTCAATCTCTTTTTTGTTATATTCACTAGTTTATTATATTTTTTAGATTCCACGTGTAAGTGATATCATACTTGTCTTTGTATTTGTTTTTTCTCTGTCTGACTTATTTCAGTTAGCATATACCCTCCAGATCCATCCATGTTGTTGCAAATGACAAGTTTTCATTCTTCTTATGGCTGAGTAGTATTCCATTGTCTCTGTGTGTGTGTGTGTGTGTGTGTGTGTGTATACACCATGTCTTTTTTATCATTCACCTGTTGATAGACACTTAGGTTACTTCCATATCTTGGCTGCTATGAATGTTGGGGTGCATGTATCATTTCAAATTAGTTTTTGTTTTCTTCAGATACATACCCAGGAGTGGAATTGTTGGATCATATGGTAGTTTTATGTTTAGGGTTTTTTTTGAGGAACCTCCCTACAGTTTTCCACGGTGGCTGCACTAATTTACATTCCCACCAACAGTGTACAAGAGTTTCCTTTCTCCACATGCTCCCCAACCTTTGTTATCTATGGTCTTTTTGATGATGGCCATACTGACAGGTATGAGGTGAAATCTCATTGTGGTTTTGATTTGCATTTCTCTGATGATGAGTGATATTGGGCATTTTTTCATGTTCCTATTGATCATTTGTATATCTTCCTTGGAGAATTGCTTGTGTAGGTCTTCTACCCATTTTTGGATTGGGTTGTTTGTTTTTTTCTTATTCAATCATGTGAGCTGCTTATAAGACTACTATTTTTAAATTCTGTTTTATTTATTCCTGTTTTTCTTGGTCCATGCAGTAAGATACAGAATTTCTGCCTTTAGAATATATTGTAAATTTGTGTCCAAGTATATAGTCAGTGATTTGTTAAAAGATTTATGTACACCTGAAAAGAAGTACTCCTCTCTATTTGTAGGCTGTTTCATTTTCTTTTCAGTATTTAGGTCTTTTATTTCATACTTAGATCTATTCATTTTGAATTCTGATAGGCTTTGTTGACATTTCCAGTTGTAATTAAACTTTGTCTCTTGCATTTCTGCCACTTTTGTGTGCACTTTGTTTTGTGTTTGAGCCACATAAATTCAATACTGTATTGTAACCTAAATTGATCACTGCCATTTTCTTTTTGGAATTCCCTTTATCTCATAGCTTGTTTATTCTCTTGTGATAGACTTAGACCATTTCCCCAGTTATCAAAGTTTTGGCAGCAAATGTGGGCTCTTTTTCACCCTAGTCATTTTAGTACCACTCTGGGTTTGATTCCTGAATGGCCTGGACAGAGAATAAGAAGAGGCTCTGCCCTGGCACATAATAAATTCTCCATTCCTTCATGGTGTACATATTATCTGGACCAGTTAATTAAAGGTGATTAGAAAGGAAGGAAAAGATGGTTAGTTGAGCATCTGTACGCCAGGCACAGAGCTAAGCACTTTCTTATATCAATTATTTCTTCACCCATCTTAGGCTTCAGCTTTTTCCATAGGATATTTCTTCTAAACTTGTCAAATTTGGAGATTGCTCTACTTGATGGGAAATGTGAAAGCATATAGGAATCAAGTAGTTCCTTTCACTGTCATCTATTAATATTTTATCATCTTACCTCTGTAGCAGCAGACCTGTCTCATCTGTTCCACGCATGTAGTTGTTTGTACGTATCTGCTCACTACCTCTGAAGCTATGGTGGTGTCTATAAACGTCTTCCCTTTTCATGTTCTTTGGAATAATTTGTTATTGAACTGTCAGAATTATTGTTTTTCTAATTCAAAAAGGCATATGCACCTCAGTGTTCATAGCAGTACTATTTACAATAGCCAAGACATGGAAGCAACCTAAATGTCTATTGACAGATGACTGGATAAAGATGTGGTGTATGTGTATACAATGGAATACAACTCAGCCATAAAAACAAATGAAATAATGCCATTTGCAGCAACATGGATGGACCTAGAGATTATCATACTAAGTGAAATAAGTCAGACAGAGGAGGGCAAATACCATATGACATCGCTTACATGTGGAATCTAAACACATGACACAAATGAACTTATTTACAAAACAGAAAGAGACTCAGACATAGAAAACAAACACGGTTACCAGGGCAGAAAGTGGGGAGAGAGGGATAAATTGGGAGTTTGGGATTGGCTGATACAAACTACTATGTACAGAATAGATAAACAACAAGGTCCTACTATATAGCCCAGGGGACTATATTCAGTGGCTTGTAGTAACCTGTAATGAAAAAGAATATATATATTTATGTATTTTTTATAAAAAGGAATTCTTGTTTTAATGTCTTCAGCGTTTCTTCAGCTATCTTACCATATTTCACTTTTTTTCCTTCTGAAGTTTTTGAAATTTATGCAGCAGACTTTTTAAATAAATGTATTTGACAATGTGTAGTGTTTTTTTTCTCTTTATTATGAAATTTAAGACAGTAAGGTCATGTGTTGTACCACATTAACTTCTGCCTTTGAGAGTATCAGTTCTCAATTCTAAGAGGTCTTCAGTTTTATTTTACAGCAAAGCAAAGGTTATGGTAAATTTTGCAGTAGAAGGCGTTTTGTCCACAGGTGTTCCAGAACCAAAATTCTAGTTAGGGCCCTGCAAAAGTTTCAAGGGCGGGCACTCAGGGGGACCCTAGTGAGGGATGTGTTGTAACACTGCGTGCCCAGTAGATACTCAGTTGAATCTGATTGCTGATCGTTTCTCGTCCTGCAGTGTGGGCCAAGCTGAAACTGCAGAAGGCGTCAGAACGATGGCAGCCTGACACTGAGGTGAGTGCTCCTGTAGCATCAGGGACCGCATTAAGCGACAGAGCACCCTTCCCATGTAGAAGGGAGGTGAAAGATCCCTGGTCCCCTGCAGTAACAAGTATAATGCGACAATATCTATAAATTGGCGCTTGACTTCTAAGCCTAATTTATTTGTGATATTAAATGTATCAGTCTTTAAATCTGTGTCTTAAAATGGGTTATGTTTTCCCATTGAAATTTTTTTTTAATAGAGGTACTAGGGATTGAACCCAGGACCCCATACATGCTACTACTAAACATGAGCTCTACCCCTGAGCTACACCTGCCCCCATCTCCCACTGAGGTTTTGAAGTGGCAAGGAGGAGTATCCTGTGGCTTGCCCTGCCATGAGGATTCCTAAGAAGCTGAGAATCCATGTCATACGTTAGCTCTCCACTGCAGAGAGCATCGAAGGGGAGGTGATCCTCTCGTGGGGTGGGAGGCGTCCTCATAGGTGCTGGGTTCTCAGAGTTCTCAGTTCTCAGAGATGAGGGGTGATGGGCACGTGAGATATCGTAGCTACTCCCTCTCTTTGAGGTCAGTGGTTTTCAATATTCCTTTTTTAGCACCAAACCCCTTTCCAAACTGTAATGTAGAACTCCAGTATATAAAATAGAATAAAGCAGAACTCTGGATGTGGAGAAGCTCAGCCTTCTTTGCCTCCCTTTCATCCTTAGAGTGGGATGCTAGAGTGGCATCTTGGGTAGAAACCTAGGTTTCTAGGATTCTTGGGAACCATTTGAAAACCATGTCTTAAGTGAGCCTTTCTCAACCAGAGTTCCTCATCTTAAACACAGAAAGTGATTTGAATAAACTGTTTTCTCAGATTTCCCCCAAGGGTCGGTCATAACTGGTACCATTCTGGATACCTGATGGATGCCATGGGCAGTAGGGCAGAACCCCAGCTGAGAAAGGCTGTCTTACAGGAATGTCTATCAGTCAGGCCAGGGTGAGCTCAGGTACCCAGAGGTCGGTTCCAAACATGTCTCCCAGGAGGCATAGCTAACAGTGTTCCTTTTCCCTTTTAAAGGAAGAGTATGAAGACTCCAGTGGGAATGTTGTGAATAAGAAGACTTACGAGGATCTGAAAAGACAAGGACTGCTCTAGTGTTCAGGGACGTCTCAGCTTTTGGGCTTGCCCAGGCTTCCCTAAGATCTGCTTTTTCTATTTCCCAACCAGATGCTCCTAAAGACTCTTTGCTACTTAGTCTTATGGACTAGCGTGCATCTTGTAGAAACAAGGCATGCTGGCAGATTGCAGGGTTGAGATGTGTTTTATCTTTGTTTTATATTAAAAACGATTCTGTTGGAAAATAAGACCAGCCCATGTTCTGAATGTGTTTTGTAGTGAAGCTCAAGATTATTGACTAATTCAGTTCTCTAGTTCTTAACACCTCCTTACATCTTTCTCATAAACTTGAGTAGCAACTAAAGATTAATGAGCATCTGGTATGTTATATATGATACTTGGTAAATCTGACCTAGCCTCACTCCCCAACCCCATTTGCTGCCACTTCCCCAAATGAGTATCACCCCAGGATAAGCCCTGCCCTTAACTGAGTCAGCCATTCATGCACATATTCGGGAAAGTAGGGAAAGTGAGCCAGGACCTCTGCTAAGGACAAAGTTGTGGCACCACAGTTGCTTTTTTATTTGCATAAAGGAAGGAGTTGGAATGGCCTGCAGCCCTGCCCCTTCTTCAGGCCACAGCAACCTGGCATGCAGTTGGACTAGGAGCAGAAGTGACTTCCCCTGCTTGCTAGTTCAGAGCAAGAGTCTTTGGTGATCCTGTCTGCCTTTTTCATCTGTAGGATCCCTACTTGACTGAGAAGTGGTTAATATTCTTGTGTTCTCCAAGCCCAGATAGCCAAGGTGTCGGGTGGAAGCTGAGCAGCTGCCTCAGGATCTGAATCTGGTGTCCCAAATGGAGACGGGAGCTTGGATCTGCCCACAGGCACAGTCAGCTGAAGGCCAGGGCCTGCTCCAGAGCAGGATCTCCCCAGGGGCCCGGCCTCCTTTGCCCCTCAGCACCCAGACCTTCAGTTCCTTTGTAATGTATCTACTTGTAAATATCCTAACTCCGGAGCGGCCTTCTCCCTCACTCACCTGCTGCCCCAGTCATCTCCAGGAGGAGGGTTTCGCCACCCTTACCCTGTGGCACTTGGCTCTGCGTTGATATTTTCCTTCCTGCCTCAACCCATCTCTCGGGCAACTCCTCCCATGTTCGTTTGTACTTTGGCTCCTCCATTTGCTTAAAACCCCAGTTGGACAACCTCTCCAGGGTCTGAGCTTCCGAAGCAGAGTGAGTAGATAATTAAACCTAATTGAGCCAACTAAAAATACTACCGAAAATGGGCCCAAAGCGCAGGGAGACATTGCCATTTGGGAAAAGAGTTAAAGCCTCAGAAATGGGAAACATGGGAGGGTATGTCCCTCCAGCCGTCCAGTTGGGCAGTAGCAGCATTGGGCCCCCCCAGGAACCCACCTGCTGCTTTCCAGGCATCACATTCCTCCCAGCCTCACTTTTAGGAGTGGGTACCTAGGGCTCCAGGGTCAGCAGGGCATCCCGAGAACCCACTTTCTTCACAGTGCGGAGGGGAGGTGGGACCAGGTTCAGAGCAGTCCTGCCATCACCCTCGCCCAGATGACTGCAATCGTCCTGTGACCTGTGAGCCAGAGCCACCTTGGAGGAAACCTGGGGCTTCCCTGTCACCGCACAGGCTTCTTTTGTTCATTTGTTACATTCACCTGCATATTTTTTAGTGCCTCCCATGTGCCAGGCACAGCTGGGTTTGCAAATCTTGAGAATTAGGTAGCCGTGAGATGGTGGGAGCAGAATCAGAGGTAAGGAGGTGCAGTCACAACCTAGGCCGGCATGGTGTGTGGCCAAGTCCACCCAGTCCTGAGGGCACAGAGCTACTATGGAGGTGCCTATGAACTTACACCAGAAGTGGCTCTCCCCAGAGGTGACTCCCTGAAGCTGGCCTTCAGGGGGGTCTTCTACAAGAAGAACAGGATTTCAGCTCAGCCCCCTGACCAGGCTGGGGAGAGTGGAGGGGTGCTCTTTCTTGGTTTAGATCAGTAGTTCTTAATTTTTTTAGGATCATAGATTCCTTTGGAAATAAAAAGACAATTGTAGGCTTTCTCCTAGAAAAATATACATGCATATACATTTTTGAACACAATTTCAGGAGCTCATGAATCCCCAGAAGTGCATCTTTGGAGTCTGAACTCCACCTGGGCTCTGCCTGCGGAGAGCAGGTCATTCAACTTGCTCTTCAAGGAGGAAAACTGCTCCATCAGAAAAGCTGCAGGACTCCGCCTTCCCCTCTCCAGCTCAGGCAGGAAGCACCTGGGAGTCGTTCCTGGGGTCGGCCCCCAGTCTGGTGCTGCTGGACCCCGGGGCCAATCTTGGGATGAACCTCCCAGAAGCAGGAGTCTCCTCACTCCCCACCTCTGAGAGGACAGCAAGTAAATCTGTGTCCGGCCTCAACTCTCATCCCCTTCCACTTCCCTTCTGTTCTGGTCCCTGGGGTCAGCTTGTGCTGGAAAGTTCTATGGACAGAGCATCCTAAAGGGAACCCATGTGTCAGGGAAGTGAGGGGCAGACAATGGCGAGGTTTTCGTCTTCCCTCGGCATTACTTTTACATTTTTTAATCCTTGGGATGACAGCTACCTCCCTCTTCATCCTTCCAGGCCTTCTGGCAGCCTCACCTCAAAGTTCTCATGGTCGGAGTAGGCCTGCCACCTCTCCCACACATACCCTTTCCACTATCAGCCAGACAGCCTTCTCCCGTTGCAGGTGGGCCCTGGGAGGACCTAGCCTCCCCACCCTCTGACCTCTTCGGACAGCCCTCTCCACCTGCCAGGTTTCTCATCTACACAAAGCGTGTCCCAGTGGGGTCCCTTTATCTGCCAGTTGGCTTTATTTTCTCCCTCTGGCTCCAGTCTGGACATTAGCTTCCTTCTTTGCCCGTGTCCCCAGTGGCAGCAGCAGCAACAGAGGGAGCTCTGAGAGCAGACAAATGATTGGACAGAATGAGGGGCAGCCACCAGCGTCCAGGGGCCACACCTGGATACTCCCCAACTCCAGCACACACACTGGTTGCCCTCCATACCTTCAGGTGCACAAGTAGGTCTCCAGTGGGAAGAAGGTGGGGCACAGGGGGTATGGGAATACTCTCTCTAGTCAGGGAGGTGTGTACAGGCTAAAGGGGATGGGCCAGGAGCCAGAACGGACACAGACCAGCAGGTAACCATCTCGGCTTTGCCCAGCTTTCCGATTCAGCTGAGTGTCTGCTTCCGTCCCTGTCCTGAACTGTCCCTCCAGCCTCATCTGTCCCCACTAGGGAGGGGGAAAGAGGCTGTGTGGGAGGTCTTGGCCCCTCCTTTCACCAGGACACAAGGGCTGAGTAGAACCTTTGGGCACCCTCTCTTAATCTGTTTGCCTTCAGAGACTGAGGTCCCCTTGGAGAGGTACTGACTGGATAAGAACACTTCTTTTCTTTGAGGAGGGGAGTTAATTAGGTTTATTTATTTATTAACTTGCTTATTTTTTATCAGAGGTACTGGAGATTGAACCCAGGACCTCGTGCATGCTAAGTACACGCTATACCATTGAGCTACGCCCTCCCCACTGCCAAAAGCTTCTTGAGTGTAGCATTGGAGGGGAGGGGGTGGTAGAGGGGCTGAGGCTTCCGGTGGTAAGGATGGGTGAGGGTGGAGAGAGAAGTGGCCTTTATTGCCAAGGGGTCCCATCCTGCCTCACCTCCACACCCTGGATTCTGAACACCACCCCATTCGTGCATTAAAGACCACTGCTAGCAGGGGCCCAGCCCAGGCAGGTCCTAGCTCCAGGATCCCCTCTGTTTCACATCACCCTGGCAGCCATCACCTGAGAGACTGATGTGGTGATGGAAGTGCTGATGTAGGACTATACCCATGAGGACAGGGAAGCATGCCCTGTTAGCCCTGGGGACACAGAGGGCTGGGTTGTGCTCAGCCTCCCAGGGTTGAACCTGAAGATGGGAATAATGCCCCCCTCTCCCACCTCCAGCAGTTGTCTGCCTCGCCTGGAAAAACTTGAACCTGGGCTTAGCAGACGCTAACAGGCCTGATCCTTTCGTACTGGGGGAGACAGAGCTGGGATCCTGCTATCCGAGGTCTGAGAGCTACGTCCTGCCCCTGGCTCAGCTCTGATTTAGGGACAGGGTAGTCTGAACCCTGAAGAATCTGGACAAGGTGAGCCCCGATTTCTGACCCTCTCTGTGACCCTGCCCTGAGTTCTGAGGAAGCCCATCACCCTCCACACCCCACCCCTAGCACCTTCTGACGTCAGAGGTAAATGAGGCCAGATCAGAGGCACCGGATGTCTATTTCCTGTCACTGCACCTGCTCCAGCTCTGTCTCCCCTCAGGGCTGGGATGCTGCTGTTGCCGTGCCAACAACAACATTCACTCTCAGAGGGGCTGTTACCTGGCTGCAGGCCCCTTTATGCTGGCCTCAGTGTCACTCTGACAGTATGACTTGCAGGAAGCAAAAGTCCAGCCCCTGGGATCCATTATTCCCTCCAGGTTGACCACACCCCCCAACCTGCTCCCAGCCTTGGTTTACTCATCTGCATAGTGTGTAATGGGAATCCCTGTTTGCAGCCCTCCCCTGGGCTGCCCAGGACTGGTCTTTACTCTCTCCGGCTCCTGAAATCCCTCAACAGTTGTCTGTGGCCAACAGTAGCCATCAAGCTGCTTTGCTCAGAGGTAGCTGTTCTCAGCCGAGGGACCCCAGCCTCTCCCAGACCCTGTGACAACCCTAATCTGTGACGACTTCTGGGCCTTGGGGCTGTCCCTTCTTCTCCCTGACATCATGACCTCTTCTACTTAACCACTGCATGACCCTGCCTTGACCTTGACTCTTGAGCTGATGACTCCCTGCAGTGGTCTCCTCTCTCCTGTTCCTCCTACCAGTCCTCCTGCTGTTCTTACTAGTAGCTCAGAACCTGGCGAGAAATCAGCTGACCCCTGCTCCTGTCCAGGTAAGCAGCATATGAAGGCAAAGAGAGTTTCCTGGAGGCCTTCACCCATGGGAGCTGGGGCCACAGAGTTCAAACCCTCCCACAGATAAGCCACAGTTTCCACTGCTTCAGAGAGGCGTGCTACTAGGAGGCAGGGTTCTCCAACTAAATGGTGGAGCACCCCTGCGAGGAGGTGTGGGAGGGGGGCTGCTGTTGGGGACAGGGAGGCCCAGGCAGGATGCTGCCAGGAGGGACTGTTGCAGGGTTGAGAGGGGTGCTGACATTCGGGTATGTAGAGTAAGGTGCTG